TCGCGCACTCACTCCTAAGCTTCTGTCAGGTCGGGTATGATTACTTTCGTGCTTCTGCCAGTTCGGGTGTCATCACCTCTGTTGGGGCAGAACCGCCACTGCTCTTTTTGTCGAAGCCGTCTCTGTAACTGGAGATGGCGGTGGAGGTGGCAGTGGCAAGTGGCCGTTGAAGTGCGGCTGTCAAGCGTCAGATCCCAAGTCAGTCAGGTGCGCCACCCCTGGATACGGACTCCTTCGGTGTCAAGTACGGTGTGGTCTGTCTAGTTCGGCACCCTGGAGGCGAAGTGCTGGAGTGGTGTGCGAGGTGAAGTCTTGAGTTCGGATAGGGGAGAGTCCCGAACTGCCATGGAGAGTCCCGAACTGCCATGAGGCGGGCCAGTTTCGGGTCACTGCTTTGTGTGGCTCGGGGCCTAAGGGAGAGTTCGGGCTCCTCGTAGGGAGTTCGAGCTCTTAGTAGGGAGGTCGGGATCCTTGTAGGGAGTTCGGGCTCCTCGAAGGGAGTTCGGACTCCTCGAAGGKAGTTCGGACTGCTAGTTTCTTCCCTTTGGTGCTTACTTCCTGGGTACGCTGCTTTAAGTGCCGAGCTATTTGTTTTTGCCACGTGGAGTGATTGCGAGGTCGGGCCAAATCTTCCTTCATCAGATTTCAATCCACTACTTTTTTATATCCAAATTAACCCCATTTAAGTTGGCAATGTTAAGAATTGAAATTTCCCAAATTTGTTTTGCGGATATAAAATCAAAGAAAATACGCTTGACGTCTTCAATGGATACACAAACCTACTACAATCACCATTGATATCAAGACCCCTCCTTAAGAGGACCTTCAATGGAAGTTTATCATTTAAGAGGAGATGCATAACACTTTAAACTTTGGAGGGCTTTTTAATATTTAAAAAATAAGAATTATAATATTTTTATTATATATATATATATATATATATATATATATTCGAGCCTAGTTTGTGAGCCTGACGAGGCGAGTTTAAGTAGCTCGTGAAGAATTCGCTCATGGCCACCGCTGCTACCAAGTTCCAATTCAGAGATTTCACTTGAAGGCAGTCAACCCCTCATTTTAATTTATAAGTCAATGTCATGGTGAAGCTCCCTTGCTCCAAAAATTTATCTTCCTTATTGCCATAAGGAAAAAAATTGATTTGATTTTATTCCAAATATCAATAAGGACCAAACTCCAAAATTTACTATCCTTCTAAACTACTCTTTCTTTATTAATGAATTCATTTACTAGCTCTAAGGAAAATCTACCAACCCAATTATTTGCTTAGAATTTGACACACTTCCCGTTAGGGGTGTTCAAATTCGGTTGATAAATCGAAAATTGGACTGAACCAAAGCAAATAAGTTAATTTGGTTCGGTTAATTTGGCTATTGATTCGGTTTGGTTTTTATTTTTTTTAAAAATTGGTTTTCGGTTAAAGTTCGGTTTGACTAAAATTTTCAACCAAACTAAATCGAAAACCGAATTAATGTTGTTATTTAGTTAAGTATATTATATACTAATGTTTTATTTAATATTTTATGTTAATTAATTATTATATTTTTTAATGAACAATTAATAATAGTTAATTAAAACCTAGACTCATTATTAATTGTTTATTAGTCATTAATTGTTCATTAATCATTAATTATGTTTGAAGATGGCCAATTCCTCAATTCTCCATTGGGCCTATTTTAGCTTTTAATTAATAATAACTAATTAATTAAAACTATTGGGCTTTGGGGTCATTCTAACTTTTAATTAATAATAATTAATAATTAATTAATTAATTAAAACCATTGGATTTTGGGGCCATTTTAACTTTTCATTAATAATATTTATTAAATGCTTGTCATTTATGTAGAACCAGGTTCCAACAATCGAATCAAATTCGGTTAGGGTTAATATAATTCGGTTCGATTCGATTAGAAGAAATGATAAAACCGAATAATCGGTTTGAACCAAACCGAACCGAACCGAATCGAACCGACCGATTGTACACCCCTACTTCCCGTTAAGGCCTTTTCTCAGAACTCAGAAGCTCTCTCGCACTTACCCAATACGGACAGCTTTTAAGCTATGTTTGGTGGATAATGCGGAAAGCCCAAATCGGCTTTCGGTCAAGCGTCCGCTTCCGGCCCGGATCCTCAAAGCAGCTGAACTCCCAAACGGAAACACAACTCAGTTCAATCAAAGATTCAGCCCTCCCATACGGCGTACCGCTACAGACCCGCAATAGTACGGCACAAAAATTCTATTCTACGTTGCTACTTGCTGCTAAGTGCTAGCCCGCTGCTTACTAACGTGTCTCCTTCATTTGAATGAACAGAGGCTGGGATTTGGTGAGAAGCATCCGAAGGAGTTTCAGCACCGCTCTGAATAAGGTTCTTCATTCTTTCCGCTCCCCAACTAATTAACCACCTAGCATTTCTCGATTTTTAGTATTGTTTTTTTTTTTTTTTTAAAGTATCTGATCTCTCAACGAATCTTCTGAGCAGATGGAACAATGTGAGCGTTATAGCTACAATCCCACTCTGCGTTGGAACCCCCATGTCGAGGAGTACTTCATCAAGGCCTACGGAGCGGAGCATTTCTCTCGAATCTCCAAAGCCCTAACGTAAGCAAATCTCTCAATACCAACATCTTTATAGCTTAGATACTTACTTCTGTTTCTCACTTCAGTATATTCAAAGTTTGAGATATGTTAGTTCTAGTTTGACTCCTTGTCTGTCGTGGGTAGGCGTCCATCTTGCTACTCTTGCATTCGCGTGAACACTCTGAAGACAACCAGTGATGCTGCAATTGAAAAGCTAGTGGCGATTCTAGCGGAATCAGGGTTTGGAAATACTACTGATTGTACTAGTACTAATGGAAGCAATGACACTGCAGAAGTTGATGTGAGAGAAGAGAATGGAACCTTCTCGAAGGAATCTGATGTTTACCATCTCTCAGAAAGAAAGCACCGTGAACCCATTTATAAGTGCCAAATACCTGGATTGGAATATATTGTGTTCGTTAGAGGTTCTGGACCACACACAATTGAATATGGTGATGCACCTGGCAAGCCTCTAAAGGAGGTTATTGTGAGCCGGAAATGTGCAGAGGCTGTTCTTCGAGGTGCCCAGGTATGCATCTGATGCTGGCATCTGCATTATAATTATACTCGTTGTTTCATCTTCTTTCTCGAATTGCTTGGTGTTTATGTGCTCTGTTCATGACATGTTGCTTTCAACGTATCATAGTTTTTGCTCCAAAGATTGTTTAACAGTCGTATCCTTAGATATTTTAGCCTTCATTGTTTCAGACTTTTGGGGCAAGTTTATAGACATCAAACATTCTTGCTTTTCTCCTTTTTGTGCTCTTGATTCTCTTTTAGTCTTTTTACTTTAAGTCTTCTCATTTTGTCATATTTAGTTCCAATGTTAATATTTGTCAACTGACAGAAATTTCTGAATATTTTTTTTTGTCTTTCCAACTCTCCATGGTGTCTTGTCTGTAGGTATTTGTTCCTGGTGTATTGGCGTGCAGTGCTCATGTTGAGAAGGGGGACACTGTTGCAGTTTCAGTTGCTGTGGAGCAATCTAGTCTTGAGAGTGGATGGGGAGTTGGATTTACACGTGGGACCGTTCTACAGGGACTGCAGACTGGTAAGAAGTATAGCTTAATCAAACAACAAACTATTTGTTAAACTCTGAATAAGGTAATCTGAAACAATGACACCAATTTGAGGTTATGTTATGAATGCTAAAAATTAACAAGTCTGACATGAGAGAGCATTCATTTGTAAGTGTCTAGGTATGTATCATAGATCTGAGATATTCTAGTTTCCTAGTTCATTTCATACATCAATCCATTCCTTGATTGGATTGGAGATCCTTTTGGTTAAACTTATTAAAGGTATGAGTTTTTGCGGGTTGCCTTTTAATTTTGTATTAATATTTAACCCTCTGTTTTTGTGGGTTTTTTATGCTTGAAAATGTTTTATATGTTTGGTTTCATTTTAAAATTCTCATTTGAATATGCTTTACATATTATATTTATGTATTTTAATTTTAGATAATAGGTTTTTTTAAAACATTTATTTTAAAGGCGGCTCGTAGAACTAGAATTTTTGATTGTTTTGCATTTTTTTGATTTTTTTTGAATTTTTAGATTTTTTTTAAAATTGTGTGCCTTGCCTCAAAAAGGCGCATGCCTCACCTTGCGCCTTAGGCGCAAAATGGCCCTTGCGCCTTTTTTGCACTTTGCGCTTTTAAAACACTGGGTAAGAGGTCCCGAAGAGTCTCCAGTAATTGTTACATTTGCATTTCCCTTCTTGTTCTTGACCCAAGATGGTATAAGATGTGGGTGGAGGTTCCAACAGGTGTCTTTGGTAGGCTTAGGTTTCTTGCAGTAGTTACACACCAAGTACTTATCCTCTCTCTTGTTCTCATTACTCCCCTTGTCTCCATTTGGCTTAGGTTTGACTGTACTAACCATAGTCAAATGGTCGACCCCAGGCTGTCTCAACATGACATTCATCCTTTCTCCTCTCTAGACACAAAGGCATAGGCTTGAGAAAGAGTTACACTTTCTCTAGAAAGGATGCGTTGCCTGACAATATCAAATTTAGGGTTCAGTCCAGCCAAGAACTTAAAGACCCTATTCTTCTCCACCAACTTTTGATAGACTGTTGCATCCTTCATACTCGCCGAAACCATAATCTCTAGGTGATCTATCTCCTGCCAAAGTGTTTTTAGCATGGAGAAATACATAGCAAGTGGCCTATCTCCCTGTTTTGTATTAATCACCTGATTCCTTAACTGATAGGCTCTAGCTACATTATGTTTCTAGGATTAGATCTCAATCACTTTGTCTCAAATCTCCTTTGCAGCATTAGCCCACAAAAAAGTTTTTAACAATGTGAGGTAACATAGAATTACACAGCTAGGCACCATGTAATTCTCCTGTACTCGAAAGGAATCTGTATTAGGATTCTTCTCCTCCCAATAATGTACCCCAATTTCCCACGAGCACCAATAGCCATCTTGGTTGATTGTGCCCATCCTAAATAATTTGTACCATCCAATTTTATTGTGGTAAACTGGTAATAATCCTTAGACCCAAAAGATCACTGATACTTCCTACACTTAGACCCAGGTTACCAGTTGACTTCTGCTTAGTACTCCAACCCTCCATTTAAATGAATTGAAAAACAAAAAATAATCAGGTAGAAAGCCTCCAAGATTAGATTGATCTCACACACAAGGGTAGAAGACCTTTCCAGTGGAAGACAAACTTACTTGGAGAGAAATCTCTCTCCTCCCACCTCCCATCAGAGAGAAAAGTGAATTGATCTCTCTAGAAGGCTCAGAAATTGCCAGAAACTAAACTGCCCTACACGGTGTACAAAAAATTGCAGAATAGATAGGCTTGATAGAAGGGGACTCCAAGGTGGTGGTGGGCTGTGGCTTAGAGATCCAGACTCAGTGATATGGTGTTATAGAAATGAATTGAAGAATTTCAAATGGGTAACACAACATATGAATTTGACCATACAATGGGTGGGAAGGGAGGCTAGTGCACTTGCTGACTATCTAGCTAAGCAAGGAGTAACTAGGGATCAGTTGTATTGGGCCCACTTGTAATTTTTGCTGCTAATGAATCATTAATGAACTTTTACCTATCAAAAAAAAAACCTAGAGAAGTCCAGAAAGGTCTAAGCGCCCAATACTAGGTCAAAAATGAAGAGTCCAACTTGACTAGGACTCTTCCCTGCATTCCAGTTCTTCCTGGTTTTGATGCCAAAACATAGATCACTGTCTTGATGGCTGAAACCCACCAAAAAATCCAAGAACTAGGCAGTTTGAAGTAGATCGATAAGCCCTTTATCTCCTAATGCAATCGGCTGATCTAGGACTGCATGGATGAACTCCAAGAAACCCTTGTCTTGCTCTGATACCAAGTAGAAATCTGCTGAATCAAAAATCTGCAAAGAAAAGAAGTGTTTCTTGTGGAAGAAGAGAAAGAGAAGAGAAGAAGTTGAGAAAGAAAGAGCAAATCAGATCTGGCTGCCCTCTCCATTAGTATTTGTACTTCAATTAAAAAGAGGTTATAATGACTAATATGCCCTTATAGGGCGACTAACACATAAAGCTGCATAAAAAACTAATTGACAGACAGCTGTGGGGAAATCTCTTGGTCTTTTCTTCCTAGGGGGAGAAGCATCGATGAGAAAGGCAATCTAACACTTTGAACAAAATAGAAGGCAGGAAAATAATAAGAGGAAAGTAATTGGGGGATGGGGTGAGAATTGGGAGGAAGATGAAGGGGAGGCTTTAGATATCGTTGATGACAAGTGAGGGGAATGCTGGAAATGTCACAGGTTAAGGGAGAGGACTGGAGTTCCTTTGGCAGCTTTGAGATGGTGCTCGGGTTTAGTTTAGTTCTCTCAAGAGAATGATTCCAGATTTGGGTTTTTGCTTGATTGCTTCCTTTTGTATTCTAATTTGGGGTGGTAAGATGTTCAGGGAATTTTTATTTATATTGGGCATTGGGTGCCTAGCCTCTCCTTAGTTTGGATGGAGGTGCTGTCTCAGCACCTCTTTAGGCTGTATTTGCTTTTCTTTTTTAATATATCCTCGTTTTCCATCATAAAAAAAGGGTTCCAACAAGAGTGTTGTGGTCCCCACTTCTTATCTAAACAAATAATAAACAAAAACAATTAACAAATCTGCACAAAATCCTCAACAGTTTTTATTTGCTTTTTGTTTAGAAATTGATATCTGATTTGAACACCTTTATTATCTGCCTAGACGTTTCATTGTGCATATTACCTAACACTGATTGGAATTATTTTATAGCAGATCCTCATTATGTTGAAAGAAATGGACTGTATATCGGACAAGGAATGACGATGATGTCCAGGGCTGGGATCTTTCGTGCTTTAGAGGGAACTGCTATAGAAATGACAAATAGAGTGTATAGCCTGCCATCCTTTCATGGTATTCTTCTTTTGTTTTGTAAGAGTTGGCATAAAATACATGCTTTTGATATTTATACTTTCTTAGTTTTATTTGGTTTATTTACTTGAGTGCCTAAGGCCTAATTGTATAATTATTGTAGATACTTTCTGTTTCATAATTCCTGTTATTGGAACTAGAATATATTTTATTATTTCCTTGTGGCTGTATGAAATGAAGATAACTTTGAACTATACAACAAGCTGACCACCAATCTATTCAAAGAGTTTTCAAATAACAAACACTTAAAATGCTCTTTGTTTGAGAGTTGAGACATAAAGTATCTATTGAGTCAAATCTTCTTCTCCTTGCTGGTGTTTGGGAAGGGGGAGGGGAAGGTACTTGGCAGTGGAGATGGAGTTGGGTTCCTAACATCCCAAGAAACTATGCTTCTTTGTATGGATGAAACCATCTTATCTTGAGGGCGAGGACAGTGTTCAGAGAACTGGACTGGGCATAGAATTGGAAAAGGGAGAGGAGGTTCATGGGTCAGAGGTTGAACTGGAGTCAAACCAGAGGTTGAACCGTGGTGATGTGGCATATATATATATATAATTAAGCCTCTTAACTCACATGTTCTTTAAAATATGTGCGTAATAAAGTAATATATACAATAAAGAGTCATTAAATAATAAAAATAAAGGAATGGACTAATGGTAATTGAGCAATACACACATAAATAAGAGGTCATGGGTTCAAGTCTTGCCATTGCCATTTTGAAATTTCATCTCACTCAGTGATCTGAATGGTTTTATGAAACCAGGACCAGTTCACCGGTTATCCAGTTAAATTGGCCGGTTTTCTGTCAAATCTGGTTTCTAGGATATGACTCTCCTGGCCAGTGCCTCGGGTCACGGTTCTATCCCAGAACAAACTTCATACTTGATACAATTATGGAAAGATGGGAGAATACTATGTATAGCTTTCCATGGGGAAGATCTTGTTTCTTGAGCAGAAATGCTAGCATCTCAGCCATTGTTCATCATCCCATGAATATCACCTTATTTTACAATTTATCTTTTGCTACCCATCCTATATCTTCATCATTTGCTTCTCTTTCTTCTATTGCACCTCCTCTTGAGCTTCAGGTGTACTCTCTCACCATCTGAAGGTTCAGCCCTCCCTAGAAGGTATGGAAGTACTAGAAATTCTAAGTGCAATACCATCAGAGACTCATTAGGCAAATGTGATTGAGACTGCTTTTTCCCAACTGGGTAACCTCAATGACCTTGATTTACCTATTGCTCTTTGTAAGGGTGTTCACTGTTGTACTAAGCATCCTATTGCTGATTTCACCACTTGTGATTAGGGGTGCAAATTGGGTTGGCCTGAGTTAGCATTTTACATTGCTTTGGGCTCAGGTCTTCAGGCCGGGCCCATTTAAATTTGGGCAAAAGCCCAACCTGAGTGCATCCAAGTTGGCAAGTTGCACTTGCACCCCTACTTGTGATAGTCAATCACCTTCTTACCGAGTTACTGTGCTTATTATATTCTTTCTATTTGTAGTGTTTCCCTTCACAGAAATGTTGTTGAGGGCCTTGAGGCCAAACAACTATCTAAGTGGAACAACACCATGTTAGAAAAGTCAGGGTCCTTTACAAGAATAACACATGGGAACTAGTCGATCTTTGTGACGGAAAGAAACTGGTTGGATGCAAGTAGGTATTTTCAATCAAGACTGAACAGGTGGGTCTATAGAGAGTTGTAAAGGCAGATGTCGCAAAGTTTTTCTTAGTTGTATGGTGTGGACTATACAACTAAGATGAACTCAATATGAGTTGCTAAGATGAACTCATAACTAGTTCTCTTATTTCTTATTGCACACTTTGACTGGCCACTTTATCAATTGGATATAAAGAATGCTTTCCTTAATGGGGATCTTAAAGAGGAGGTATATATGCTTCACCCACTAGGATTTCAGGTTGAGGGTAGTGAAGAGGTGTGTTTATTACAGAAGTCATTGTAGGGGTTAAACCAATTTCCTAGAGCATGGTTTGGGAGGTTCAATAAGTTGAGTAGGGTCGAATCTAATTCTGATGTGATCCAGTTGCCGCAAAATAAGGAGGTTATCGGTAGAGACTCAGGAGGGTAACTATTCAGAAATTAGTGTATAGAGAGGTCACGATTGGGAAAAGCCTGGGTCTGATGTTCTGAGGTGGTGAGGAGTTTGCTAGAAGAGCCTTTGAGGAATTTGAAAGAAGAAAAAGGGTAGAGAAATTGAAGAAGAAAGTCCTTCGGAATTTGGAAAGGAAGGAATGGAGTGATTTTTTTAATTAATGAATCTTTTCTGTGTTGCTGATAAAAAAAAAGAAAGGAATGGGATGAGGATGACTCAGTCCAGGAGGATATACTGGGAAATCATTGGGTCTGCATGAGCTTCTCTTGGAATCGTTTGGGTGTAGATTTTGCTTGTTAGTTGTGGGGTTAATGGGTTTTATGGGCTTTCTGAGGTGGTCAATTTCTGGTGATATCTTATCACCCTGCTCTGTATCTCTTCCCCTTTCATTTTTAATAAAATTCTATCTTTATTCTTTAAAAAAGGTTCAATAAGGTGGTAAAGTAAGTTGGTTTCCAACAATGCCAACCATTCATACCTTGTTTGTAAAGTGTGAGCGCGACAAGATAGCAGTTTTATTGTATATGTGGATGCCATCCCTATCATTATTACTGGGAATTGGATGCCTGAAATTCAGAAGCTAAAGGATTTTTGGCATTCCACTTTGAAGTGAAAGAGCTACACCCCTTAAAGTACTTTCTTGGGATTGAAGTTGCTAGGTCACATAAAGGAATCTTCATGTCCCAATACAGTGGAAAGAGTTGAAGACCATCAAGGGGATGGGAAGGGCTATAGAGAGTTGACAGGGATCGGAATGCATAGGCAGCATAGTAGGTAGAGTAAATATTACCTTGACGCAGGATAAGAAGGAATGGGAGCAAAAATGGGTGATTCAAGCTAAGGATAAGATAGAAGACTGGAACAAGGTCGGTCGCACAGGTGATAATAAGAAACTCACATTTGAAAAGAACAATAATAGTAACCTTGTTTGAGAAGCACAAAGCCTTGCTTGACCTAGTGGAGGATAAGATGGATTTAAGAGCTGTTTGTATTCCAATGGGGGCTGGTCAAGTTAAAGTTGCAAAGTGGTCTCCAATAGCAAACTCGGAATCAGTAAACTTGGAGAAAGGGATAACAGTTCGTGTGCTAGGATTGCTATTTCATCTTTGGAAGACTGAAACCTTTACTGCATTGGCTTCTCTGTGTTTGCATTCCAATGGAGGCTGGTCAAGTTACAGTTGAAAAGTGGTCTCCAATAGCAAACTCGAAATCAGTGAACTTTGAGAAAGGGATAGCAGTTCGTGTGCTAGGATTGCTATTTCATGTTTGGAAAGTGGTCTCCAAAAGTTGGATCCAACCACATATGTTGAGCATGAAGGTTTTCTTGTCAGAGTTGATTTTCCAACCTGGGGAAGTTGATGCAGGAGCATGTGGGGCCCACATGTAGCCCTGCTAGCAGCTGGTTCTTGGGGGGCCATGCTAGTTGTTTCTCTTTGTTTTCTTATTTTCTTGGGTTATGTATCTTGTATGGACTATATAGTTGTTTGTAATGTCTTAGACTTTAATGGGAGTCACTTAAGTTGGGGGTATTTTGGTTAAATTGTGTTTTAGGGTGTCACTTTGCCTGGAGGCAGTTATTTAAGCTTCAACATGTTTGTAGAAGGATCTTTTTGCTATTTTAAAACCCTAAACCAAAGACATATACTATCCTCTGAAGTGGTGATTTCAACCCTAAAATTGGGTTGTTCTTTATTCTAGTTGCAAGTGTACTGCTTCACCTCAAGATGTATCACTTCTTGTTATTGTTTTTTACTGGTTTTATACTTTTGCCGCATCACTTTTCTTGCACGTCCTTCCAATCTTTGTGCTCATCACCCTCCCCCCAAGTTTTTCACCCTAATGAAGTTTGGTGTAAACTAGTGCCCCCCAAAATAGGTGCCTTTTGCCAGGAAGTGTAGCTTGGGCAGAGACACTTTGGATCATTTGCAGAAAAGAATACCATCTCTTTTCATATCCCCTAATTGGTGAGTTCTTTGCAAATCTAACGGTGAGACTTGTTGCCACTTATTATATCTTGTTTCTTTATTGTAAACATTTGAGAATGGTTATTTTCTTTAGTTGTGTTTAGGTGGAATTTTCCAATGGAGGTTAATGGTCTCCTTGATCCATCTTTTTGTGGTATTCCTTACAAAAGTGGAAAGATTGTTTGGAGATGCATTTGAGGTACATTGATTTGGATGATTTGGGAGGAGAGAAATGCAGGAATTTTTCTTTTCTAGAGGAGAGAAGCAAGGAGGCGGTGAAAATCAATCTGATTTTATATTGTACTCAATGATTGGGTTATAGTGGGAGAACCACTTCCCAACAAAAGGCCCTCACCTTATACCTAGGGGAAGACAGTGGGGAATATGGACAAGATGGAGAACTTCATCCAAACAAACAAATGGAGGAAAGTGATCAAGATGGTGAAGAAGAGAATCCTACTTGAGGAAACAAAAACAAGACGCAAGAGGAGTCTGAAGATTAGGGAAGACAAGAAGGCAATGTTCCTCTTGGAGAAGGAAGAATTGAGCTGGTTCAAAGGCTTTCTGGATGGACTACTCTACGCTGAGAGAACACAAGGGTGGAAAAATGAGCTGGTGAGAGGTGGAAAAAAGGTTCCTGGTAGAAAATAAATGGAACAAAAGTGGTTGTTTTATCACCCTGATTGAATACTTTGGAAACGGAAGGAAGCAACTGTTTACCCGAAGGGAAAGGAAAACTGAGTTGGAAATTGCTATCAAGCAATTGAAAACTATGGTCTTGGTGGAGTAAGAAGCAGTTAGTTGTGGCCAAGTCTAGTGCTGAAATCAAGTATAGGGCTTTGGCACATAGGGTGGTTGAGGTGTTATGGCTGAGAAACCTATTAACTGAGTTGGGCTTTACT